ACAAGGTGAGCCCTCAGCAACCCCACGGTTATCGGAGTACCCCCTCCGTCAGTCGGCAGTCCAGGGCACTGTGTGTCTGAGTGGATCGCAACGCGATTTTGCGAATCCCACTCCACCACAGATGCTCCCAAAACGGCCAATGTCATGGAGCCCTGGTACGATCTCGTATTGTGAATAACTGCCAACTTTGGCTGTCGACCGACTCGTTCACATACAAAGTCGCTCTTGTTTCGAAACCACCTTCTCCTTCCCGAGCGTACTTAAGCGGACAAACACTCAATTCAAGTCTTTGCCGATATTGGTGATTGCTACGCGTCCATTCAAAACATGTAAGACACAATGGAGCAATTTCGCAACCGTTTGAACCCGTCTGAATAAATTGATGTCCTTTTTTAAAAGCCAAACGTGTTTGAGGTGAAATCTGAAAGGGGAGAGAGAGAGAGAGAGAGAGAGAGAGGGGATCCCCCGCTTTCAGATTTGTTCTTTTGAACAGATAAACGACGGATTTAGGATTCTAAAAGCGGCTGAGGGAATCTCTCCCATAACTCTAGGCTCTGGTTTTGAACTTGTTTTGTCTACGGTCAAGGATCCGAATATGATTGGCTATAATACCGTGTACTATATGACAGATATGATACAGTACCACTTCCAGAAATCAGTGAGCTTTCATATCACCAGTGTTGATCCAAATGGAACACAGCACCACGCATATTAAGCGCAAGCCTCCTTCATCCACGGCCTCTTCGAGTAACAAGCGCCGACGTCACCGGCCTCCTGCATCTCCAACACCAGCGCCGAGTGCTCCCCTTTCCCGCCCCAAACCCAAGACGCGGCGACTTGCCACTTCTAACAAAGTTGCGGAGTCAAAGCCAAAAGAGAAAAGGAGAAAAGTGGAGCAGTTGACACTATTCAGTCGCTACGCAGACCCATTGGTACAGAGTCCCAAGCCTCAGATCAATCACCGCAGTACTGGAGCCACTATATTAGAGACTCCGCCAGTTCGCCGTACCGAGCCAGGATCTGTCAATGGAGGGACAGTGGATTTAGCCACAGTGCCGGATATGACGAAGCTGGAGATAGTGGAGGGAGACGAAATTCTGGAGACGATGCTGAGAGCGAGCACGCCGAGAGTGAAGCGTAAATTCCCATCAGAAGAAGCTTTAACGGACAGTGAGCAGAAGGATCGGGAGATTTTACGTCGTCGACGGGTGAAATTGAGAAGTCAGTACTCGGCAATGAAGGACCAGCAAGTTGGCGATGTCGGCTTTACAGTCCCGACACAGAGTCTTAACATTGAGAGGAATTTGTTCCAATCAGAGGATAAAACGGAGCAAATTAAAGCTGAAGAAGTGGAGCGTGCGCAGTTGGAAGAGGAGGAAGCGGAGACGGACGAAGAGACGACTGAGAGCAAGATCAACCGGCTAAGCAAAGCGATTCACTTGAACTGGCGCCAATTTTGTCTGTGGTTGCTGTCGGGTGCTTTCCTGCTCTGTGTAGTGGTTGTGACAGCACCTTTTGTCAAGAAATTACTGGAGCCATCGTTGCCGTACTGCGATAGCGAATGGATTGAGGCAAACGAGGGATCTTTTGTGCTTGCGGACCCTGCAGACTACTTTGATCGCTCGAAGGCATTGCAGCCTTTTATTGAATCCACTGATATATCTACCCAGACATCGAGACCACTCTGTCAACCATGTCCAGTGTATGGCAACTGTCTCAATGGCTCCGTGATATCATGTGCGCCTCCATATTTATTGCACTCCGGAGTCTGCAAGGAAAATCCTGAAATTCAGGAAAATCTCGACCAACTTGCACTTACGATCCAGAAATTTGTCGTCGATAAGGCTGCGAAGAATGTGTGCGACAACGTGTCGTTGTGGAGCTATCTCAATCCTGGAAGCAAAGCAGAGTCCACGAGAGACCTTGCGTCGCCAATAGAAGTGCTGCTGTTTGATGTGCAGGCCTTCGTGACAAGAACGATCTCGTTCGGCAAGGCTGTGGCGATGCTGCCTCGTGAGTACGTGTTCAATCGCGCTCTGGATATGGCTCTGCGTGACCTAAAGGACATCGTCGTAACCGAGGACCAGAGACAACTCATTGTGGGCGGCAGTGTCGTGCCGTGGTCGTGCCGCGCCAAGCTCCAACTGTACTCACACTTTAAACTTATCGCACTGGCTGTCGCATTGGGGACTGCGTTGGTCTTCAGCTACCGACACTTCCTCTTATATCGCACAGAACGGCAATTGGTGGATCGATTCGTGAAAGAAGTGCGCTTCTTCCTTTTAGACCGGACACGCAAACGCGATCGATTCTACCCGTCTGACCATCTTCGTGACGATCTGTTCGAGAAACAATCTCTTCAGAATCGAGCTTGGCTGTGCAAGAGTGTCTGGCCCAAAGTTGTGGCTGTTGTGAACGATGAATCTCGCATTAGGACGCGGGTGATCAAGTACGTATCAAATGCCGCGTTGTTACTGGATTACATGTGCTCATTCTTACGCTTATTGTGCATATTCAGAGTGCGAGGTCAAGATCTGGTCGTGTGGGAGTGGGTTTCGTCATCGTCACCAACGCATAGACGACCCGGAGGTAACAGAGGCGGAGGCTTCCACGCTGCATCGAGGTCACAACAAGTAACGGGCGATCGCTCTAGATCGACACACGTGCACCAACGCAAGAAGGTTACATGAGTGACCTCGTCAATAGTGATTCACTTTTAAGGATCTCGCGCAGCAATTTTTGATTAATGACGTTAACGGGTATCACTGACACTTCCTGATTGTGTCTTTGTTGTTGTGTTTAGTCGTAGAAATGAGGACAGAGATCGTCAGGAGAGATGGCAGTGAGTGATTCGAGGGAAAAGCTGCTCCGATCACGAAATTCGTCTTCACCGTCGCTCCCAGGCTTCTCTGACGTTAATGCCGATGCTGTCTGGTAACTGGTAAGCAACTCAATGGTCTGTGTGAGCCATCGACGTCTTCCTTTCATTGAGTCTTCTTTCTCGCCGTGGTGACGAAGGCGTTGAGACTCTTGCTCGAACAAGTGACGCGCACGATCCAGAGCTTTGAGCGCGATGGATTTCGTCTCCATTTTGCTTTCTCGATTGTCCGCGATCAACGCGCTTCTCTCTTGTGGAGGCGGCACCAGTGCACAGACTGCACGAGCAGAGGACTCAAGCAACTTCGGAGTTTTAACGCCGGAGCAGCTCTGACACAGTTGACAAAGCAGAAAATGACCGTCGAGCTCCATTACTTGCTGTCGATTGGGTCTGGAGTTCGCAATAACAGCGAAGGATTCACAGAGAGCGATGAGTGCTGCACCAACACCACGCTCGTCATCGTCGTGTTTCGTGTCGGGGATGGCACCAAGTGCATAGAGCAGCACTTGGAGTCCATTCTGTGCGGCTACACGGGCTTTGTTCGGCTGGTTTTGGTGACAGAGACAAGCGAGTGCAGTGGATGCAGCCTCGATGACTAGAGGCTGACTCACTGCATCTACCAGTAATTGCAGGAGCAGCGTTGATGCGTTGCTGTAGCCGATAGTGAGTTGGTTCACCGAAGTGTAAGCCAAATTAGCAAGACCAACTGCTCCTGCCCGAGCAAGCTGTGGACTCCGCTGTAGATTAGCAGCTGTGAGACACGCAGTCAGTGCCGTGGGCGCTTCAGCCGCCATCAATGCGCTTTGGTTTACTACGTGATTGAACGCCACGTTCCCGAGAAGCTTAGCAGCCTCAGTTTGTACACCAGCACTTGAGCTTTCTCGAACATATCGCACTACTATTGGCAGGAAGTATGGACTAGCAGCGATTTGAGAACGCAGAATTTCACAATCTGAAATAACAGCAGGTGTGAGTTTCAAACTAGTTTAGTACTGAATGAGCTTCGTACCATGAGATAAATTGACGAGTGCACTCAGTATGTTTTCCTGGACAGCGAGGTCCCAAGGCAAAGGAAGCTGTTCCAATGTTACGGAGATATCCTCCTCGTCATCATCACCACGCTTTTCTCGGTTTCGTGGTGGAATATGCGGCATCAGATGCTGGACAAGCACACGCACAACGTTTTTCGAGGCCAACACACGCTTGTTGGGGACGTAACTTGCTAAAGCTGCACACAAACGAGAAGCTTCAACGAGAACTCGAGCGTTTTGGGAGGCTTCGAGGATATCAACCAGCGGTGTGCAAACTCCAGCCTTGACGATCTGTTCCCGAATGTCCAGCCCATTATTTGATGACGCAGGTAGCTGATGAGAGCGCGATTTAGTCCGATAAATTGCTAGATGCACAAGAGCTATGAGTACAGATCCAGTGACAACGTCTCCCATTTTCTGCTGTAGTAAGTGGACTAGAAATGGAAGCGCTCCAGCTTCAGCCACCTGTGGTGCCTGTGAGGCAGGGAGAAGCGCGAGACTCTGAGAGAAACGAGAGAATACGTCCTCTTTTGGGTCAATAGTAGGTGCTGGCTTTGAAGAAGAGCAGGTAGCGAAGACATCTTCAGGAACTTCGACCGGCGGAATAAACCGGCACTGCCAGTTTTTCTGAGCTTCTTTGTCATTTCTTTCTTGATCAAGCTCTGTCTGAAGTGCTTGGACGGTCACCTTCCAGCGTTTTCGCTCCTCCTCTACAGCAGCTTGCTGAGCCAGAATCTGGTCGCGTTTGGTGCTCTGTAGCATTTGAGAGAGATCATGGACGCGAACCTGCAATCTAACATCGCGCACACAAAAGCGTGCTGGGTACCCATGAGTGAATCTATAGCAATAGCGTATTGATTTCGTACTTGTGGACTTGTGACTCTAAATCACGGATCTGCGTTAATGCTCGAGTCTCTCTTAAATCTTTCTCTTGTTGGAGCTCTACCAGTTGCCGAGACAGCTCCAGCTCCTTCGGAGTTGGTACATGTGGATATTCCTGGCTCGCATATATTTCAGCATTATAGCAGAATCAACTAAACCAAAAGGAGTGGACATACCGCATCTTCCGGCTCAATTAGTGCTCTCCCCGGCATTTCAAAGGCAGCACCTCGTTGAACGTCCTGATACTTTCATTTGACCATGAAAGTGCCTTCTACTAATGCATTATGAGTGAGTTTATCAATAGAATCCAAAGACAAACGAAGAATATCAAAAATATTTAGTTGAAACGGTTGATCTAAATAATGAACAGCGCTGTTGATCAGATTCAAGCAAATATTTTGCTGTTCCCACAGCGTTCAACCATCTACTTTATTTTCGTGCGACAGTCTACTTTATTTTCCCTCATACGTCGTCTCGTAAGGATTACGAGGACATGGAGAAACGAGACCATCACTCTACTTGATCATGATTTGAAGCGATTACGTGGGGCGCATAATCGAATTCGATTGTGGGCCAGAGCTTAAAGGTGGAGCAGGATATTATGCTCTCGAAATGATTATATGCCACGACGACGTCGACCAGTAAAACTACACTTTTCCGTCTAACAACAACCGTGTGCCTGTTAATCACTTTTCATTTTGCTTTCTCGTCCACAGACACCTAGTCGGCTAAAGACTCACCATGGACACCCTCCTCCATTCGAAAGAGCGTTCGCCATTAAAGCTAGACGAAATCGGCTATGATAGCGGAGCTAAGCTCATGGCAGGCGGTTCATCGGCACTACACGACCACGTAGCGAGTCGATTGGAACTCTCACTGAATAAACCTCTTCCACAAGTAGAAGTGCGTTTCAGGGACCTGTCCGTTTCTGCGCGAGTTGTTGTTCAAGATGATTCGCACAGCAAGTACGAACTTCCAACGCTGTTTAACGTGGCCAAGACGGGGGTTCTCAAGTTGCTCTCGAAGAAGAATGTGGTGGAGAAGCAGATCCTTCACCCGGTGAGCGGTGTCTTCAAGCCCAGCACGATGACACTGGTGGTGGGACAACCTGGATCTGGCAAGTCTTCGTTGATGAAGCTCCTAAGCGGTCGATTTCCAGCGTCCAACAATGTGGAAGTGGAGGGCGAGATCACATACAACGGCATACCCCAAGACAAGTTACGTAAACGACTCCCTCAGTTCGTGTCGTATGTGCCTCAACACGACAAGCATCTGCCAACTTTGACTGTGAAAGAAGCACTGGAATTTGCACACGCCTGTAGTGGTGCCGAGCTGTCCAAGACCGATGAACAGCAACTCGTGAATGGATCGGACGAAGAGAACAAAGCTGCTATGGCAGCAGCTCGAGCGTTGCGTAAGCATTATCCTGATGTGATGATTCGACAATTGGGACTCGAGAACTGCCAGAACACCGTCGTGGGCGACGCCATGTTGCGTGGTGTTTCTGGTGGGGAACGCAAGCGTGTGACCACCGGTGAGATGGCATTCGGCAAGAACTACGTCATGTTGATGGATGAAATCAGTACGGGTCTCGATAGTGCTGCGACGCTGGACATTGTCAAGACACTACGCAGCTTGGCCAAGAATTTCCGAAGGACGGTCGTGATCTCGCTATTGCAGCCGTCTCCAGAAGTTTTTGCCTTGTTCGACGACGTGATGCTACTGAACGATGGATACGTCATGTACCATGGTCCTCGTGAGCAAGCACTGGACTACTTTGAAAGTTTGGGGTTCAAGTGTCCTCCCAATCGTGATGTAGCTGACTTTCTCATGGATCTGGGCACGAACAAACAGCACCAGTATGAGATCGGAACTGCTCCGTCAAGTGCACAGCAGTTTCGAAAGGCATTTGAGCAATCCTCCACTCATCAACACTTGCTCGATGCTGTTCTAGCGCCTGTGGACTCAAGTCTCGATCGTGACAACGCACTCCATATCTCACCTCTTCCCGAATTTCATCAGAATTTCGCGGACGGCACATGGACTCTGATCAAACGAGAGATGGCAGTGACGATGCGAGATACAAGTGCCGTGCGAAGCCGCTTCTACATGGCAGTTGTGATGGGACTTCTCCACGCGAGCACCTTCTACCAATTCGACGATGTGAACTCGCAACTGGTAATGGGCATCGCTTTTGTTACGATCAACTTCGTGGCAACGAGTCACATGGCGCTCATCCCTGCCGTCATGGCTATGAGAGATGTACTATACAAGCAACGCGGGGCGAATTTCTTTCGCGTGTCATCGTACGTGATCGCACGGTTCATAAGCCACATCCCCGTTGGCCTCATGGAGTCTCTTGTCTTCGGTTCGTTCATGTACTGGATGTGCGGATTCGTACCGACAGTGGGTGGGTATTTCTTGTTTGAGTTGGTCCTGTTCTTCGTGAGTATGGTGGCTGCGGCGCTGTTCTTCTTCATCGCGTGTGTGTCGCCAAATCTCAACGTGGCGTTACCAGTTACGATGCTCATGCTTCTCTTCTTCGTCACGTTCTCCGGCTACGTCGTCACCAAAGATATGATTCCTGACTATATGGTGTGGGTTTACTGGCTCAGTCCACATGGTTGGGGTGTTCGAGCGCTTGCAGTGAATCAGTACAACGACCAACGGTTTCTCACCTGTGTGTATGAAGGCGTTGATTACTGCGCACGATACGGCATGCAAGCTGGCGAGTATCTATTGAGCGTGTACGGTGTACCGACACAGAAGCATTGGCTGTGGTTTGGTCTGGTGTTCCTCGTGGCGCTCTACGTTTTCTTTATGGTAATGTCTTGCTTAGTACTGGAATACTTACGCTTCGAAAGCTCTGGAAATTCTGCTGTCAGTGGAGACAACACTGCAAGTGACGAGTCTTCGACAGAGGAGAACTATGGGCTCATGAAGACTCCGAAGGGAGCTACCAGCAACGACGAACAACTAGAAGCTGTTATCACTGTTTCTCCTCCAGAGCACAAGAACAATTTCGTTCCGGTTACTCTCGCATTCAAGGACTTGTGGTATTCAGTTCCGGATCCTGCGAATCCCAAGGGAGATATCGACTTGCTCAAGGGTGTTAGTGGTTTTGCCTTACCGGGCACAATGACTGCTTTAATGGGGTCTTCCGGTGCAGGTAAGACGACTCTGATGGACGTGATCGCTGGTCGAAAGACCGGAGGTAAGATCCGTGGAGCGATCCTACTAAATGGACATCCCGCCACCGAGCTCGCCATTCGTCGATCGACGGGCTATTGCGAGCAAATGGACATCCACTCAGACACCTCTACATTCCGTGAAGCCTTGACGTTTAGTGCGTTCCTTCGTCAAGGCTCTGATATTCCTGACAGTGCGAAGTATGACTCGGTGAATGAGTGTCTGGAGCTGCTGGACTTGAACCCCATCGCGGACCAGATCATTCGTGGTAGCTCGATGGAGCAGATGAAGCGACTTACTATCGGTGTGGAGCTTGCAGCGCAGCCCAGTGTGCTCTTTCTTGATGAACCTACCAGCGGTCTCGATGCTAGGTCAGCCAAGTACATCATGGATGGCGTCCGAAAGGTGGCTGACACGGGACGAACAATCGTGTGCACCATTCATCAACCATCAGCAGTGGTATTCCAGGTGTTTGACAGCTTGCTGCTACTAAAGCGTGGTGGAGAGATGGTTTTCTTTGGTGAACTTGGCTCAAAAGCTTCTGAGTTGGTTAGCTACTTCGAGGCGATCGATAGCGTCCCCAAGCTTGAGCCGGATTATAACCCGGCTACGTGGATGCTAGAGGTGATCGGAGCTGGAGTTGGTAATGTCAATGCTGACGTTACGGACTTCGTTGCTCTCTTCAAGAACAGCGAAAAGAATCGTCAACTACAATTGAACTTGGATCGTGAAGGGGTGACGCGACCTTCATCTTCTCTCCCGGCTCTAACCTTTGGTCGCAAGCGAGCTGCCAGTAGTATGACGCAGGCGAGGTTCTTGATCAAGCGGTTCTTCGATTTGTACTGGCGAACGGCGTCGTACAATTTGACACGATTCATCATCTCGGTGATCCTGGGTCTAGTGTTCGGCATCACTTACATTGGGGCCGAGTACAGTTCGTACCAGGGCATCAATTCCGGTATGGGCATGATCTTCATGGCAGCCTCCTACATCACCTTCATCACATTGAGTGGAGTTCTCCCCGTCACATACCAGGAACGAGTAGTGTTCTATCGCGAGCGAGCTGGTCAGACTTACAACGCCTTCTGGTACTTCGTCGGAGCAACCATCGTCGAGATCCCGTACTGCTTCCTCGCAACGTTGATCTTCCTCATCATCTTCTACCCAATGGTGGGGTTCACGGGTGTGGGCAACTTCTTCGCGTTTTGGTTCTGCCTGTCACTGCTGGTGTTGATGCAGAGCTACGTCGGTCAACTTTTGATCTATCTACTACCCAGTCTGGATGTGGCTTCCGTTTTCGCGCTGAACATCAACTCGATCCTCATCCTGTTCACCGGCATGAACCCTCCGGCTTCGTCACTACCTCGCGGTTACGTTTGGTTGTATCACGCCGTCCCGAACAAGTACACGTTCGCTAGTCTTACAGCAATTGTGTTTGCCGCTTGTGATGGCGATGGAAACGGCCCAGGTTGTCAGGTGATGACTGGAACTCCACCGACACTCCCTGACGGTACAACAGTGGAAGAGTATATGGACAGCTTGTTCTGGATCAAGCACAGCGAGATATGGACCAACTGTGGATACGTCGTGGCGTGGATCGTGCTACTAAGGGTGCTAGCTCTTGTAGCACTGCGCTTCGTCAATCACACCAAGAGATAAAGGAAAAAGGAGAACGTAAGAAGGTGGTAGGGATTGTAAGTAAAACAAATCAAAAATCCACCCAGGGTCCTAAAAAATATGAAAGACAATCCCGGATGATGCATTTAGCAGCAGCCACGATAATACATGTGCATCTGTAGATAAAAGCAACTTTGCAAAGTTGTTTGGAATTGCACTACTGGTACATCTCTTTAAGAACATTATAGTCAACATATCCCTTGACTATTGAAAACGTAAAGTTCCGGCCTCTAAAGGTTTTTTTTTTTTTTTTTCTTTCTCTACAACAAGAAATCTAGCGAATTTACAAAAAATGAAATTGCTTTTTGCGGGACCACGGTAGGTCTACTTCGCGTTAATGATGAGGTAAATTGGTGGTGTCGCAGGCAAGGACGGTTGCGCTGGCGACATGGGCGATCACTAATCCTAGAGAGCCAGGAAGGAGATCGGCCTGAACAGTGCTAGGAATAAATGCGGATTAAACGGAATTTCTCGTCAATTCTCGCAGATTCCTGCGGCGCTTATTTGATAGTTTAGATTGATCCCGAACTTGACCGATACTTGTTGTTAATCAGTATTTGTGACTACGGTAAATGGTTAGATTTTTTAACTTGATTGATCGGATAACTTACGGTACTGGCTTTTCAAAATATCACCGGAAGTCACAATTCCCGCTAAAAAGTGTTGGCGGAGGCCGCTGAATAGGTTCACGCGGTAATGAGCAACGAATTTCCTGGCCAACTTATTGTTCATTACCGCGTGAATCTATTGAAACACTTGGCCTCTGCTAACGCACCTTAAGTGGTTCGATTAACATGTTGATTTCAAATAATAATGTAAACTACTAACCAAGAACCTATTAACATGTTGATTTCAAATAATAATGTAAACTACTAACCAACAACCTATATTGATGGAACTCTCATATTTAATAAAATACATCCTTTTATATCCATTATACTCTTAAGAATTGATGCAAACATGAGATGACCTAGACACGCAATGCCATCTTCTTTGTAGCGACCAGTGTTTGCTGAAGATCGATCCAGTCGTCCAAAGACAATTTGGATGCAAGTGAACGACATCCAAGCCGACCCCAATACTCGAAGTCAGTGAAACGAACCTGTTGGTTTTGAAAACAACGAAGATTCCGTGAATACAATCCATTCACTCAACTCCCACATTATTAGTACGAGTACACTTGGTCGCCATTTTCACAACCTGCTGCATGGCTATTATAGCAGACCTTATCATGACCGACAGAGCAGCAAACTTCGTTATATTCGCTGCAAAATGAACCACCCTGTAAGTGCATCCCACCACAGCTGCAGCATCTTGACGGAAGTACCCTCAAGTTGAGGCCCTCAACTATCCTAGTGCTCCACATAGAAACACGCATGGTGCAGGTTGAAGCCTATCCACTAACCGCCGGCACGTCGGGTTACAGTGACCGATGGTAAGCACCAAACGTTGCTCATTGCATTTCAAGCAGGCTACGAAGTAGCAGAATCGTAACCCAATATGCCCCACTCGCAGAGAACGTCGCGTCGTTGGGAGGAGTGGTCCAGTTCCAAGCACCGTCCCCGACGGCACCGATCGGAGATTTTGGGAGTGTTAACGCCCGATCGCATTGGTGACCACCTTGTGGCTCGCTGCATGGCGCTCGAAGACTTTCGTGCTCGAAATCTGACCAACGTGTGGCTTCCGGAAGTGCTGGGCGGTCCACGGATGAGTCACAGGTCGCGCCAAGTGTTGCAGGGCATCATTGACGCTGTGAGCGATCAGGTTGTAGCTGTCATCGCATACGAAAACGAGTCGAATGTACTCGTTCAGTTGGCGCAGACTGGGTACATCGTGCAGCATATTTTAAAGCTGAATCGCCTGTTAGACGTCGCGTTGGAGATGTACGGCATCAAAGAATCTCACAGCATGATTGAATGGCAGACTGTTTTCGGACAAGAGCGTCAGGAGCGCATGACGAGATTTCAAAAAATAGTGGCAAACAAAAATCTGTTGATGCAGATGTTGGGCGACCAACAGCAGCAGCTACAGATATTGACATTGCTGGTGTACGATATCCAGAAACACGGAGATGAAACGTTTACAGATTTGGAGTACAGCGTTATCATCGACGTATATCATGCGTGTGTTAAACTCTCCGGTCTAACAGTGGTGACTGTCCCGGAATGGTTTGTCCCGGCCCACGAAACTCGAGAGAATCTATGGCAAGGCACTAAAGTTGACGTGGAGTGTCTAACTCAAAGCGAGGAGTCTTGTATTCGACAAGTTTCGGCCTGGTGGGATCTGCATCAACCTCATGTGGCGAAGCTGTTCGGTGCGTGTCACGTCGGGAATGATCTTTTCCTGGTACACGAGAGTGCGCAAAATGTGAAGAATTCGGTTGTGAGTCAAGACATCCAGCTTGGAACTGTTCATATTCGTCAGTTCCTTGATGAGCGCAAATTTGGGCGGTTATTCTCCACCGAGAATGAGAGAAAGGTGGTGCGTCCCGGTGGAGAGCTGCTTTCATCTCGTGTGACCTCCCCCAGCGTGAATTTGAAGAAGCAGCAGCGAAATGCCAGCCCAGCATTGACACTGTGTCCTGCCTTCTCTAAGCACAAGGAATGGGGACTCCTCAAAGAAACATGCGCCGATGATATTATCATCCACGACGCTGGTAACGCCATGAAGCAGCTCCACAGCAACAAACCCCGCAGGCGTTTCTGGAATCGAAAAGTACATCAATCAACGAAGAATGCATCCAGCATCGTGAGATATTCGCAAAGTTACGATCCGAAGTTGAATTTGTCCGTGGAGAGGTTGTTTGAAGAGACCACGGACAAGGTTTGGGCGATTGAACGGACAGCTTCAAGTATTGTGGGACTCTCTCGACAAAGCCCAAAGTGGTTTATTCCTCGTTACGAAGTTGAGATTGGGAGTCGAATCAGCGCCGGGTCTTTTGGAGCTGTTCATCATGGCAAATGGCTCAACGCCAGTGTCGCTGTCAAGTGTTTGTTTCGAAGCGACAGAAAGCTTTTCTTGCGTGAAGCGAATATTTGGTTCTCTCTTAACCACCCGAACGTCATCAAACTCTACGGAGCCTGTCACGTTGGCAAAACCTCGACACGAAGTCTGGATGAACCTGTAAACCGAACAGAGCAAAGACCATTCTTCGTGTGTGAATACGCGAGTGAAGGCACCCTCAATGAATATCTCAAGAAATGGGAAGTCGAGCATAAATCTCGTTCCGACGCCTGGAGATGCCTATGCGAAGCTGCTCGAGGGCTCCAGTACTTGCATGAGCGCGGCATCATTCACGGCGACCTCAAAGGCAACAACATCCTCGTGAGTTCTGACCACCAAGTAAAATTAACGGACTTTGGTTTAAGCACATTAGCCAAACAGTTGAACTGGACAGGCAATACCGGGACTGTCGGTGCGATTCGATGGAAGGCACCAGAGCGTCTTGGAGGTCACGACCGAGGACCATCCTTCGCTTCCGATGTTTATTCCTTCGGCATGTGTATCATCGAAGCTGTGACCGGGAGATTCCCGTGGAGTGAATTTATGGACGAAGACTTGGTCGTATCGGAGGTGACTCAAGGTAAACTCCCTCCTCGGCCAGAAGCTTTCAATAATGAGATGTGGGATCTGGTAGCGCGTATGTGCTGCCAGAATCCTGCCGACCGAATCACCATATCCACTGCCGTTGCTCTACTCGACTAGTTCTGTTGAATAACGTTAAATCATATTTGTAGCAAGTCAAACGTAACATGAACTGTAAAATGCAAAAGGTGTCGTATTTGTTGAAAAATGGTCCTGAGTAGATATCTGAACGCCATCCTAGCTGAACAGAGGAAGCAAAAGGTAAGAGACGAGAACTGAAGCAGGTGATCACTGCTAAAGTACTCATTAATCATTACATCCGCATGACACGAGGTCAGGCTCCCAGCTTCAAAAATCTCAGTCTGTCTTCACGCGTTTCACATCGTCATCACCGTCACTATCACTGTCGTCCTACAATATAAAAAATACCAACACAATGTCAATAACCCGACATACAAACTTTCCAGTGACAAACTGCGTACCTCTTCCAACGACCGCTTCACGCCGCCACTGTCGTTCATACTATCATCTGAGCTTGCGGTTCCCTTCATGGCCACATCTCGTTCTGCGGGGATCAAATGTGCCGGTGTCACGTGCTTCGAGTTGGCCATCACTGTGTCGTAACAATACTTGTGGAAGATGGTATCCTGCTGCTCATTCCCATTGGGTCCAGTGTTATGAATCGTGCCAGCGACCGCGTTAGTGTACATCCAGTCCTCCTCTTCTTCATCCCAGCTTCTTGAGAAGTTCTCGCCACAAATCCGGCAGCGTGTGATCGTCTCGTCCACTGGCACACGAGCATTCTCCCACGAAGCCTGCTCTCCTGCGTTCTTCTCATTCTCCTTTTGTGTCCTGTCAAAAAAGCTGCTGCTTGTGCTCTCACGTGGCGCAGTGTCTCCAGAGAAATCAGCCACCCACTGGTCTTCGTCCGGATACCATGATCTTGACACGCCACCTTTGCCTCGCTCTTTACGCGCACGGTTATACTGGAAGAGGAAGTCCAGATGAGCGTCCAGTTGAGCCTGTTCACGGAAGCGAAGCCCACTCTCCCGACACACCAGTGGCAACGCAGCGTACAGCTTCTGGACGTTCGATTCGACGCGGTCCTTGTGAGCCACAATCTTGTCACTGAACCACATCCGTGAAGCGTTATCACTGCGAGGAGTCTGGTCTCCTTGTTGTTGTGGTTGCTGTGGTGTCTGGGGCTGTACTTGAGGAATTGGTGGGTTAGATGCACCTCCATTGGACATACCCTTCAGTTTCTGTAGTATCGACATGACAGCAGCAGCGTCTGGAGCACGTGGTGGGTCATTAGTGATCTCTTGAACAGGTTTTGGTGGCGACGGAGCGCGTTGCTTGCGCTTGAGTAGCTGCATCAAGTGAGCAACATTAGAAGATTTGGCAGAGATGTCGTTTGCGCCACTCTTATTAACTACTGAGCTTGTTCGAGGTGGTTCTGCACGAGTCTGGGTCGGAGGCACAGTCTTTGACTGTACGCGAGCCCGAGGATCACGGGGAGGAGACGAGTGTCGAGGGTCTCGAACCACTGAAGTCTGTTGCTGTGGAGGCGGTTGTCTAGTTCTCTGAGAACCAGCATCAGCCGAGCTGTGCTCTACCTTGGAGGCAGCATGGAACTCCAGCAGCTGGTTGTAATAGTCTGGGTTATTCGTACGCACTTCCTCTAGACTCATGTGCTCGGTCGGGTGGATCCCCATATCGTTCTGTAACTTGGTAAGCAGCGAGCGCAGCTCCATGTCTTGTTGCTGCTGGGCCAGCTTGACGCTGGAGTTAGCACTACCAGGTCGAGTTTGTTGAGACGACTTCTCTTGGTTAATGCTTGCAGGTACCGACCGAGCGGATGGATCTGCCTGTTGCATGGCTCGGTTCGCAGCGCCGCGCATCTGCGCGATGGCGTCCTTGTTAAACAACCGCGTTGTCTCCCACGTATTGAGCACATGAATGAAGCGCTTGAGGTCTTTGCCGGACACCTGCATATTATACAATTTATTTTTTTTAATATTAATAAATATTATATTATTCTATCAACTGGCAAGTAGTAGAAAAGCTTCGTACCTGACGCACACAGTTGCAGTAGAGCGGCACGATCTTGGCGGCGAAGAGAGAGATGTACTGGCCTCGCACGTTCTTGAGGATAGAGTCCGTTAAGTAAAAGATCGGTAGCTTGCAATTGGGCGCAACCTGTGAAGAAACAATAACAAAATAGTATCAGCTTCCCATAGCTCGACTATGAAGCATTGAAGGTTGCTCGACTTCGTGCAGTCTCTCCATCTCTCTGCCTGTAGCTACAGTTCTAGTAGAAGGACAGTTACAAGAGCCTCATACAGCTCAGCAAGAGACCTCCAATAGATAATACACGAAGAGAGAGAAGGAGAGGGAGGACAGAGGAAGCAGAGTCTTCTCTTTTGACACATGTGGGAGGCTCATTACCCGGTGAATCTTGGTCTCGAGGAAGCTAACAATCTCAGGCGCGAACTGCGTGCGCTCTGCCAGCATCGTCAGCGCGTTGATCGTGTCCTTGGCCGGGTAGTCCATCATCGTGTTGATCTGCGCGTCGAACTGGCCCAGTAGCGTCTGGATCTCCGTCTTGGGCTTGGAGGCAGGGCCGGAGCTGGCGCCGCCGCTTGCCGTGGATGAAGCGAGCTGTGCCATAGCCATCGGTCGAGGAACTGCGTGGACTGGGAGGCGGGCGAGAAGCGAGGAAGCAAGCGCTTGCGTGGTCTGGCTGGCTTCTTGTCTGGGCCTGGAATAATACGAGGTATGAGTATTTGTAATTTATAGCTTCAAATCTGGTGATTGCTGGCTATAATTGAAATATGTTAATTCAAAGGAAGTAAGAGAGCTCTCCAAATAGCGAATAATAACGTCAAAGGATGTAAATTTACAGATATGTATTCATAAATTAAATATCTAGCCCTTAATTGATAAACCGAGCCGAACATGCTGGTACGCGCTGCGCGGTTGCGCCTACTTCGTCGCTCCTTCTCCAGCGCTGCAGATGACGCATGGAAGTTCACGCATGTGAGCCGTGACGGCACGTCCCCTCATATGGTGGACGTGGGGTCCAAGAAAGTCACGCGTCGGTCTGCCACTGCTCGCTCGACAATCCGCCTGCCTCCGTCAGTTCTTGCAGAGCTGCAGAAGCTCGGAGACGACCAGTTAATGGGTCCCAAAGGCCCCATTGCTTCCACCGCAGTGATCGCCGGAGTCCTAGGCGCCAAACAGACGAGCTCACTCATCCCGTTCTGCCATCCGCTGCCTCTGGACGACTGTCAAGTGCGTCTGAAGGTCACAGGACCGGACGCTATCGATGTTGAATGCCAAGTGAAGGTCACACACAAGACTGGAGTGGAGATGGAGGCGCTTACAGGTGCATCTATAGCCGCCCTCTGTGTCTACGACATGTGCAAGGCTCTGAGTCACGAGATTGTGATCGAAAGCACGCGTCTAGTTGAGAAAACCGGCGGCAAAAGGGACTTCTCGGTAGATAAATAAATACTTTAAGTACTGTCAGACGAGAAAATCTAGCCGTCCGAGTCGGCGTATGCCTCATCCGATTCGTAGCCCAGTTCCTCCTCCATTTCATCGTCCGATTTGTTGGCTGGCGCTTTTGGAGCAGGTTTGGGAGGAGAATTATCTTCGATCTCATCGTCGGCGTATTCTTCTTCGTTGTCGTCTTCGTACTCGTCAGCGGAAGCTTCGGCTTGTGGAGTGGGTTTGTCTTCTTCAGATGGAGAGCTTTTAGGGACAGCAGGAGCGTCGTCTTCTTCGTATTCGTTGTTGTACTCGTCTTGATCGTCTGCGTATGCGTCTTCAACTTCTTCGGGCGCATCCGCCACCTCTTCGATCTCTTGCTCGCGAGCAGAAACTGGAGGCTGGGGCTCCATAGGTGGCACCACGGGATCTGTACGTGGAGTTTCAGCCGCCATCTCATCTTCACCGTAGTCGTCGTGTTCGTACTCTTCGTCGTTCTCGAACTCTTCGTTTCTTTCGTTCTCGTACTCATCTTCAGTAGCTGGTGCTTCCGTCGCGACAGGTGCGGCTGGCGTTTGGACCTCGACGCTGGGGACAGAGATTGGAGCCTCGTTCCCCTGATCATCGAACTCATTGTAGGCTTCGTCATCGTCGTACTGGTCGTCGGCCTCGCTAGCAGCGCGAGGCGTATCTTCGGCAGGTTCAGGCTGAGGTGGTTCAGCTTCAACTGCCAATTCTTCTGCAGCTTCAGCAACCTCTGCTGTCTCCCGTTTCGTAGGCTCTTCTGGTGAGGATTCGGCGACAACGGGGCTTTCTTCCTGCTTCACTTCGCTTATTGACGTGCTTTCATCCGGCATAACGATCGGGGGTTCCACAGCAGGGGCATCAGCTTCTGTGTAGTCAGGTTCTTGGTCCTGTTGAGCTTCTTCAGTTGATGTGATCGGCTCGTTTGATTCTGGAGTTGATGCGTCTCTCACTTCGGCTACGTCTTCTTTGGCCACTTCGCTGGACTGAACTGCTGTTTCTTGCTCAACTACATCGTCGGCAACTGTAGCAACGTCAGCTGGGGATGCAGATTCAGCAAGTTCTAGTATGTTCTCAGCCTCCGACTGAATGGGCTCTTGCGGCTCATCTGAAGTTACTTCGGCAGGGACTTCGGCTGCAAGTGCATCAACGGCAAGGGTGGTCGTGTCCTCGACGGGCTTTTCATTTGGACTCGAGTCAACGACATCTTCTATCGTATACATCTCCTCTGTTTGTACTGGGTCTTTTGTAGCCTGATGGTTGGTATCTGTCGGAGTATCCACCGAAGGTTCGACGGCTGCCTTAGTGGAAGGTAAATCTCCACCGTCGCTCACAACAGGCTCGGCAATAACTGCTTCTTCAGAAAGCTCGTCTTGGTTAGCTTCCGATGCGGTAGGTTCTTCAATAACGGGGTTAGCGATCGAAGTCTCCTCCGTTGGAACCGAGTCACCCGTAACCTTTGCTCCTACAGCTTCAGTCTCGACAGCATCAGGCTCTGTAGCTTTTGGTGAAACAACCTCAGACTCAACGGCGTTAGGCTCCATAGTAGTTGGCTCTGCGGTTTGGGAATCAATGCCCGGTTCCACAGCCGCAGCTTCTGGTGCTTCATGCTCGACAACATCAGATTGCATCTCCACAGTTTCAGTCTGGGCAGCTTCTGGCTCGACACTCTCCGACTCAACAGTCTCAGACTCCACTGGAACAGGCTCCGCGCTCTCGGTTCCAACAGTCTCGACAATCTCGGGTTTTACGAATTTAGTCTCTGTCGCAATTTGTTCACTCGCCACTGGAGCTTCAACTGGCTCCGCTTCAGCTGTGTTCGCATTATCGCACTCTTCAGCCTTTACTTCAACTTGATCTTGTGCGGCACTTTCAGCTAATTTAGAGGCGAGATCATCGTTGACAGCTTCATCTTGATCGTCTCCCGCAACGATATTATCCTCCGGAGTCTCTACAGCAGAACCGCTTTCGGAAGCGAAAGTATCTGCAGTGACGACAGGTTCCGCCTCGTCACCCCCATTACTAGGTTCACTCGCATCAATGGCAGGAGCAATATTCTCCTCGTCAAAGCCATCGTCATAGTGCTCATCACTCGGTGAATCAGCAGCTACGTCAACGTTACCAGAAGGTCGTGGTGAATCATCGACCCTCGCGTCTGAGGTATTGACCGTAGGACTTTCAGCTGCTACCGGAGTACCGTCATTATTAACGGCTTCACTCTCGGTTGAGACTGCAGTAGCATCTTTTGCTTCTGTCTCGTTCATTTCCGGAGGGATATCATCAGGGAAGTCTTCCTCGTATGCTGTGGCGTCTGAACTTGACATTGGAGGTTCATCTTTAGTCACGGCCTCTCCTGCTACCTCATCGCTAGTATCTTGATCCACACTGGAAGAAGCATGAGCGTTTGTCCCTACAGCTGAGTCAATAGCGTCTGGTATTGTTTCAGGCGTCTCTACTGGGCCTCTGTCCACTTGGACTGTAGCAGGCAGATCATCAGCTTCATCATTCGTGGTATCGTTTGTTGGTACAGCAGATCCGTCATTCACTGGTTCAGTCTCCTCAGCCTGAGCAGGAGAAGAATCATCTGGTCTCGCACTGTTCGCTGCCGTGGCTTCATCTGCGTTAGGCTCATTCTCAGGCGCCACGTCTTTCAATGCAGATGCATCGTTCTCTGCATCGACAAAGTCTGCGCCTTCGTACTGTGTTTCCTCTTGTGTAGCATCTACCGAGGGTTTTGCTGAAGTATCAGCCTCTACAAGGGCATTGTCCGGAGCTCTGGACTCTGAAGAGTCTTCATCAAAGACGTCATCGCCCTGCGTGTAATCCGCACCTTGGTCAGGCTTTTCATCAACCTCAACTGGTTTATCCGACTGAGCTTCAGGTTCCGGTACATTCTCCGCCTGTTCGTTATCTGGAGCATTGGAGCTTGCATCGGGTTTATCTCCAAAGGTGGTCGAGTCACTTTGATCATTAGGCTGCTCATCCAGGGTAGCAGGCTGCGGTTCGGACGGTGTCATTTCCAGTACGGGGTTATCCACTTTATCAGATGCTGGATCTATGTTAGCCTCATCCAATGCAGGTGACTCGACTTGGTCTCCAACACCCACAGACGGATTTTCAGTCGCTACTTCAGGCTCAGGCTTCACTCCTGATACAGAGTTGTTCACTACATCGGGCACAATACTCGAATCGACCGCAGCGTCAGATGAGCTTTGCTCTGGATGAGTATTTGTCTGTGGTTCAGATTCAGGTGCGACCTCTTCCACTGCGACAGGCGCGTCAGCATTATTGGTCGCTGCTGCTACAGTATTAACCGCTTCGTCACTGGGCTGTTCCGACTGAACGATATCTGGGTCTTTATATTTCGAGGGCTCATCGTTAGCTGGTGCTGCTTCTTCTTCCTCTGTACCCTTGTCAAACTCATCATCATCGTAAGTTTCGGGTTGTGCACTGGTAACCCGGGATTCGTCTTCCTCTTGCCGAACCACAGAATCTGAAGGAACGGCCGTTTCTGCTGCCTCAGCTTCTGGAGGATCAGCGGAGCTTTCAGTAGGATTCTGAGTAGCTTCAGTATTGTCTGAGGTATCACCTTCTTGCTCTTGTTGCTCGGCCACTTCATCGTCTGGAGCGACTACAGGATCGACCTCTGCTACACTTGACTTTGCTTCTTGATGGGGTTCCTCGTCATCGAAGTTGTCCTCATCATATGTAGCAGGAACATCAACGCTATCATTGGGCGTGGTATTCTCCGCTTGTGCATCTTCGTTGGTCGCACCAGGTTCATCAACCACTGGTTCTTGAGCATTTTGAGTCTCCTCTTGACCCTTTGTATCAGGTACCTCAGGTTCTGTTCCAGCCAACGTAGGATCCGCTACAACCTCCGACTTGGGAGTCTCTGGTTGCTGCGGTTCAGAAGGCTCTTCCACTGTCTCAGACATCACAGACTCGGCTGCTTCTTTCACTGCGTCATCTTCCTTGGCGTTATCAAAATATTCATCCCTGTAGGTCTCAGCTGAAGCCGTAGCTTTATCATCTTCTGCCGTTTCCTCTGGCTTGACATCTTCGCCATGTTCTGGTGCAGTGGGTGCATCATCAACTGGTGCATCAGACTCGGATGGTGTATCTATCGTAGCGCTCTCAGTCACTTCATCACCGCTTCGTTCCTGTTCAATAACCTTATTCTCCGCATTACCAACAGGTGCATCTTGTTCGCCATTGTCAAAACCCTCGTCGTCGTAGGCAGAAGAGTGAACGCTTAACTCGGAGTTATTACCAGCTAGTGTCTTCGATTCGTTCTCTTCTTGGGCAGAACTACTAACCGGGTCTGGAGACTTATCCCCTTCAGTAAAAGCGGCATTATCTGACGCCTCTTGTTGTTGCTGTTGTTGGTCGGTCCCTTCAACTGGTTCTTCAGTTGAAGCAGTGACAGGAATTCCCTCAACTGCTTCACTTGTCTCAACTTCTGGATGCTTCTCTTCATCGTCGAAGTTGTCCTCTTCGTACGCGGCAGATTGAACACTAACAGCGGAACTATCCGTACACATCTTCTTGGATTCCTCGTCTTGGTCAGGTGGAGGCGCTGAATTATCACTTTCAAGGGATTCAACTGGACGAACATTGGCCTCTTCCGTCGGCTGCTCCTCATCTTGCTGGGGTTGGGTTGGATTTGCTGTTGCTTCTTCAGTAGCAGGTTCCGTTGAAATCATTGGATCATTCGGAGGAGAGGGTACTGACGTATCGTCCTCAGGTTGAGTACTTGGCTGAGTGTCGTCCACTACATTTTCAGCTTCAACTGGTTCAGTCGCCGACGTAGGACTAGCAACGTCTACACCAGGTTCCTCTAGCACATTGACACCCTCGGCTTCTTCTCCATCCGGGACGCCTTCTACTGCATTATCTGCAGGAGTATCGACGTTGTCATCAGCAACCACAACTACTTGATCAGCATGTGCGTGATCCTCTGCTTCAGTATCCACGTCCACAGGTTCCTGCTCTGCTTCGGCGTTGCTAGGAATGAAGTCATCTCCACCCGATGGATCAACAGCACCGCCGTCACCTTTTTCGTCCCCATTGGCACCAAGCAGGGATTTATCATCTCCTTCACTTTGTTCAGCGAAAGCTGGAGTCTCTTCAGCTGCTGCTACAGGAAGAGGAGTGGCCTCTTCTGTTACCTGTTTATCTTCCGTGCCGGGCAAGTCAACAATGGGATCTGCTACAATCTCAGTCGGTTGAGTATTCGTTGGCTCTTCATCTTGATTCTCAACAACTTCAGCTGCAATAGGCGCATCTTCAGCTTCGGCCTCCTGCGCCTCGTCCTCATCAAAATCGTCGTAGCCATCATCATACAGAGCTTCGCCACTTTTACTCGCGTGCATATCCGCCGGAGGATTCAGAGTTTCGTCTGCATCGGCTTCAACTTCAGCTGTCATCTCCTCCTCATCCCCTCCATTGTCGTCAAACTCGTTAAACGCATCACCATACATAGCATCAACTACTGCGCTATCTCCACTCGACCGATTGTCTGTAGGCTCTGCCGCTGCACTGGGTTCTTCGAGCGGAGACTCACTCAATTGCTGAGCATCTTCAGGCAATAGTTTAGCGTCTGCAGTAGTGTCCGGTGCGGCTTCTTCTGTCGCTGCTGGCCTATCCACTGAAGCGTTGACAGTCTCTTCCTCAGCTGGTTCTTCTTCAATAACCTTCTCTCCAGCATCAGTGCCATGTAGATCTCCAGCAATAGCACCCTTATTCTCAGCGGTATCCGCTTCAACCGGTGGTATGGCATCCACCTCCACCTCTGCGTTAGAGGCCTCTTGTTCTACCTGCTCCGTGGGTTTTGTTTCTTCTGGCACAGCATTTTCTTGAATAGAGGGAGCTGGGATCTGCACAGGTTCAGCTGCAACAACATCGACTTCCTCTTGACGTGGTTCATTAATCTCTGGCATGTCGATGGCCGGAGCAATTTCGATAGGTTTGGGCTCCACAACAGATTCTTGAGACTTCTCATCTTCCTGCTTGGCAGTAGGTTTAGTCGGAGCAGGCTTGGTTGTCTTCGCAACAGCTCGAGGCTTCCGATCAGTAGATACCTTTGGAGTCACAATAGTTCGAGAAATGATAGGCTTTGGTCGTGACACCGCAGGAACTGAAGGAGCATCCACACGCTTACTCGATTCCGAAATCGGCTTTGCAGGTCTTGTTTCTACTGCTTCTCGGGGTGTAGAAATGTCTTTGAATTGATTTGGAGTACTGCTAACCGTTGTGCGCGTCTTCTTCGCCTTCGGACGCGTATCATCCGAGAATTTAACAGACACTTCTCGTGTTTTTCTTCCAGATTTTGAACCTGCACTCGACGTCTGTGGACGCGACAGAGAGTCAACAGGCATTGACGTCGTGTTGCCATTTGCCAGGCTCGACTTCGCTTTGTCAATCATCTTGTGTAACTTTTCAGCAAAGCTGAGCCTTTCGCGCTCTCTTATCTCTTCTTTCTCTCGTGGTGTCAATCTGGAGCTTGTCATGTAGTTCGTTCCTCCACGAGCAGCACTATCTTGAAACAAGTGCGTCGCGTACTCGTTCAAAGATTCGGACGACGGATTGTTGGATCTCGCAGTCAATGACGAGTGGTTTGAAGCCGAGATCCGCTTCTGACGAGCCTTCGCCGCTCTCTTCGTAGCTGCACCCAAGCGCTGAGGTGACGGATATGACGCATGTGTCTCCCTGGAAACCAGCAACTGGTTGTCACTCTCGACTTTCACTTGGAACGCAGTGCGAGCACTTGGATTTTTCTTCTTCCTCTTGGCACCTCGTGGCTGTCTGACTTGAGGCTCATAAGTCGAGTTCTCAGCGTATTCCCACCTAGTCTGTCGATTCGGTATGAAATCCCCTTGTGAGTATTCAGACTCGTGGTCTAAATGACTCGATCGACTAGATAGGGGTTTAATGGTAGACGGAAGATGCTGGTGAGGTGCTGCCCACGTTGATTCGGCAGATGCAAGATGTGCTCGTAGTTGTCGTCGCTTGGTTCCATACTGTCTACTATTACTGGGGATTCCGTGGACCCCGTAGGCTTCCAAGAGCTCCGTTTGTCGGTCTTCTCTTGACTGCTTGCGTTTATTGGTCGACCCGAAGCCACTATCGCTGCCAAAACCACCATCGAGAATGACCAGACTGCTTGGCTGAGGTGCGGAGTAGCTGAAAGAGTTGATATCACCAGCTTGTACGCATGGAGACGAAGCTTTGGAGAACGCTTGAGTATTTCGATAAGGCGTACTTGAACTGTACGCAGTACCACGTGAGTGAGTTGAAGCCCCATAGCCGCTGGAAGGTTTGGTCTTTCGCTTTCCAGCGCCTGTCAAACGTCTGGGAACAGCTCTCTTTGTGTGGGCCTTTTCCACTGGGGTTTCTAGTGACTCGGTTTCTCGTAAAATCTCGTTAGCTGTGTCCTTGATTCTCTTTGTTGGCGATTGTCGGACACTGCACAGCGCAATCTGCTTGGAAGCAGCAGCTGAATACTTCTGAATACTCGGCTCGGTTGGGTACCTTGCCATGACAGTTGAAAGCTCAGACAATCCGTTAAGAGTCAATATTGAAGCAGCCGCGCGTTTGCCACTAGCTGCCAAGCTGGAAATAATACACAAAAATATTAATTGTTTACATCTTAAAGATCCATAGTTGCTGCTGAGCGTACCACATGAGTAAACTGCCAACTGCACAGCAAGCTTTCTTGTCATCGAGTGAAAGACCTTGACGCAACAAGAAGAGAAGAAGCGAAATGGGAGACATGTCGCCTGTAAACTTCTCCTCCTGTTCGCCACACAGCAAATTCAGAGTCTGCAAGTCGTCCAACTCACACAGCTCCAGTAAAACTATACACGATAAAAAAGTTGTGATCAGCACTTTCCTCGAAAACTTTATGCAATGTCTTACCTTCACATCCGTAATAATGCACTTGTCGTGTGTGAACACTGTAGGTTTTGTGGTAAATGAGAGTAGACAATACCAACTGAGCCACTTGGAACTCGATGAGACTATTCAGACCAGCGTGAACCCTCGTAAATACAGCTAGCGCTCCACAAGCTGAGGCCTGCAGAATAGCATCTTCTGCGAACGCGTTCATGGCGTGGATCACCAACTCCACAATCCCATTACGAAGCAGATAATGCGTGCTCTTCACACACAAGAAGCAGAGTCTGCGTAGCAAAACGAAGCCGTAACACTGGATAACAGCATGTGACTGATGACACTTGAGCGCGTCAATGATCAACCGTTCGCCACCGCGTTCATGCACCAAGTCTGCGGTGACTTGAGGATACGCCCGCATGTGCTTAACCAACGTGGAAAGAACTGATTTCGCAGACGCTGCATCACCAAGTCGTTTCTCCAGTAATTCAAGCGAGTCGATGATGTACACACGCTCTGCAGATACTTCTGTAGACGATGCTTCTGAATCCTCTTCGTTATGATGGGCAGGCTGGGGTGGATCCACGTACGGCTCTTGTTTATTAGTAGAGTAAAAAAACCTCTCTGGTTCGGAATCCTTCGGTTCATTCGGTTCACTTTCTTGATTTTCCTGTGCATCACTAGGAAAATCTTGAGGCTCCTCCATTTCAATATCTTGCTGTTGTTCTGGCTCATTGGGTGCATTAGTTGAAGTGCTACTTGGAACTTTTTCCTCGTTCTCTGCTGCTTCGTCTGGTTCTTCCTTGGGCTCCATGATGTACTCTATCGGTACGTCCACTTCCACTTCTCCATCATCGTACGCTATGGTATATTTTCCATTTTCCTGAACGTCAGAAATCTGGCCGGAGTAAAATTCCTCTCCGCCGTCGTATCGACCTAACACGCGAGTTCCAACACAAATGGTGCCAGATACGTGCTGGCGAAGGAATTCAGGACGAACATTCGTCTCGACCTCTCCGTCGTCATATAACACTTCAAAAGTGTCGCCGTCTACGCTCTCACCTTGATGAACGCTGCGTATTCGCCCTGGATACCACATGTCGTCGGTATTTTCATCGTACAAGCCGTCAACTCGCTCGCCAACGCGGTAAATAGTCGCCATCTTGTCTAAGACAAGGCTACTGAAGTAGAGCTCCTAGGGCCCCCCCTCTGTCCCCAGGTGATTGCAGTCGCAAGTGCCTCCTCTTGATGCGATAACCGACCAAGAGCCCGTTCGTTTCTTGCAGTGCTCCAATATTGGCACCGGACCTTTTGTCAGGTCTCGTCGCTTCATCCCACAACCGCCCGCCTCTGCAGAGTGCTTTGCTCGACAGCACCTGCATCACCGCAAAATGTCAATGCGTACATGCTCGCATGTAACGCGACCGTACTGATGAGTAACCAGAGCTAAGCGAAGAAGTCTACCAAGTACTCCAGTCTATGATATCATAAAAAAATACAAAAACTATTGACAACAAATAATAAAAAAAATAAAAAGCAAATAACATTCCATTCGAGACCTCGAGACCAACCCTGCGTTTGACTCTCCTGCTCCACAGCTGCAACTCGGGCAAAAAATGCAGCACCGTCACGAGACATGAGACTCAGTCGGTTTTCATCAGTCTTCGGCTAGAATTCCTCGCATAACATTCTTCTCCTCTCCCACGATCTTCTCAACTCATGGACATCATGGGTTGCTGCTGAGCTTGTACCATCTGCGGTTGGCGCGTCTTCCCCGCGCGGATATCGGCTATGAGCTGCATCACCTGCTGCCTGTCGGCCTCCACCTGCGCTATGCGTCGCTCCACGGGCCACTCCTCGAACTTGTCCTGTATCTTGGCTTTGGCCTCCTGCAGCTCGCGTCTATCGCTCTCTCGCTTGCGTGCAATCTTGTCGCGTAGATAATCGCACTGCGAGACGGCGCAGTGCTGGCCTAGTGGCGTTTGACACGTCTTGGCGTGGAAGCAAAGCAGGCCCCAGATTTTGGAGCACATCTCGCAGCTATAGAGTAGTAAGTAGCAGCATCACAGCTTTAAATCGGGGTGTATACAGTAGATATTATACAATGCGCACCTCTCAATGGGGGAATATTTGCGGCGAGCACCATAGCATCGCACGAAGTGGTCGATACTGACCTTGACCTTGTGGCAACGTCCGTTGAGCGCCTCACACTTGGACTCGGGACACGTAGCCGCGTGTACCAGCGCCTCGTTGTACACGCGGAACTTCTCCTCGTGCGATGCGCCGCCGTTGTCCTCCATCTGCACGTCCATGGCTGGCACTACAACTCGACTAGAGTTCTTCGTGCTGCTAGTCTTAGACCTCGAGCCGGAAAACAATAATAGACAAGCACTCCCTCTATTATTCAATAGTGTAACATAGAGGTCATTAAATATAGATTGACGAAAGTTCGTGAATCCTAGCCGGAAAACCTCGTGTTTTCCAAGCAATTCCGAATAAATAGATGGACATCCTCTAAATAAGAATACATGGACAGCTATGAAGTTGCCTGCCCGGCATCTTATTCATGCGTGACGGTAGCGGCATGAACAAGCAAGCTTCGAATGGGTGTGTTTGGACATGTTGAGGTTCATATTGATACTAACTACCTGGTACTTCTTTTAAGGTACTTCTTAAATAGGTGCGCTGACAACGGTGCACACTGCTAGCATAGGCCTCAGGACCACGTATCCTAGACCGCCACGTCAAAAACTCGCGGAGGCACGAACATATAGAGAGAGGCGCTGCCAGGCAGCCCTGTCGATCATGCCGAGCAGGTGCGGGCCTTGGGCAGATACTGCGGCTCGCTCTTTGCGAGGTGGTAGCTCTCGACCACTTTCTGCTGCTGCGGGTCGAGATCGCTGAAGCCCTCAAGACATTTCAGTGGGATCTGGCGCACGGACTTGTAGCACTCGACGTGGTGCCAGTTAATGCACACGAAGCCGTTGCGGTGCTGGTACACGACGCCCACACGCAGGCGTCCGGCCTCGATCGTGGCGTCGCACGACTTGCAGCAGGCATGTGCCTTGCGCGTGGCCTCGATGATGTAAGTGCCGTCCTTGGTCCAGGGCGAATCCATGGCGCTCGGACTGGTAGGGCTGCCGATGGGGCTCGCATTACGGATCTCCACTTGAGTCATGGTGGGCAACGGATTGCGGGAAAGGAGCGAGTGGCAGGCACAAAGGATAAAGAGAAATGAGCCCTGTCTTGTCCTGCCCTGCGCTGGACGCTCGCACCACCACTTGACGGTGTGGCACTTCTTTGTGTTGCAGAGTTGGGCAATGCCCACCAGCTGGCAGACGAAGCAGAGCAGGGCGCGTGTTTTACAGAGAGCAGCATCTGCCCGAAAAACGGCCCCAAGACCGGCGGCTGCGGTCTCGCTGGGACAACCTACGCCGTCGCCTGACGTCGCCACTGTCATGTCGGAATATGGTGTTCGATGGCTATTGCTGGCGGCAGCACTTCCACTGGAACTCACGGAAGTGCGTTTCGACGTCATGTTGGCCGTGTTTCCATTTTTCGGGAATATTTGGGGGGCCGATCTTAGGCTAGAGCCGAAAAGATTCAAATTCCCATTCAAATTTGCTCTAAACACTGCCCCCGTGATTCAAAAGCAGCTGCAATTGGTGGGCTCTGCTTGTTTCTGTTGCTCATTCCGAGGCAATTCGTGATGCGAGAATAGGCCTTGGGAAAGTCTGCACGAGCAGCGAACAACGATTCGCGCGTCGGAGTTGCGGCTAGCCGCCTATCGATACTCGCGGCGGTAGATTCGCTAGACAGCAAGGAAGGCTACACTAAGAACTGGTATTATTTACCTACTTTGTAGATAGTAGGATTGGAGCAGTACTGTACATAACATATATTATATGCACCTTTTGCGCGGTCCAAAGCAAGCGTATCCAGTATTTGTAGGTTAGAAATTCAAGAAAATCGGATTTCTGAAATGATTTTGGGCAGTTTCTTCTCAGATTTTCACAATTGCGGCCGTTTCGGATATCGTTGCAGTTATCTATCATCATGCCAACATGTCGCCGACTGTACTAGTCGCGCTTCACTCAGGATGACACCGCTACAGCGTACGTTCGCGCCGGCAGAGTTTGCTGAAGCAAACAGACACTCATGTCTCCGATAGTATCGAACATCGTCGTCGTGGTCGGCTACTCGCTTGCTCGTCAACAGGATTCTCACCCACCGCGGCGCTGCAAGTTGCAAGTTGCAACACGTTGCGGCAGACAGCAAACGAGGCGAATCGACAGTTGAGAGAGGTTGCATTAGAGAGAGCAGGCGTGGTACAAGGCAGACAAGGCGAGCCGAAGCTTGGATTTTGCACTGCAAATTGCAGGGACACAAGCCTAGCACTGAAACGGGCGGGATCTCTCCGAGAGCTTAACTTGACCAGCAATACTGTCCCGATTCGGGACTTCCAGACGAAAAAGCAGCGTCGGAACCACCTAGCTGTTGTTGCTTTTCTCTGAGTTGAGAGGAACATCGATGGCAATCTGCTTCAACCGCCCCCAGTTAAAAAGAATTTTCGCCAATTGATACTTCGAAGTACAGTGCTACCCCTTGATAAGCTTGATGTGTCCAGAGGTGTGCTTTGAGAGTAGATGGATTATCACAGTGTTTTATTTGCTTGCAGAACACTTTGACGGATATCGGATACGCAAGGGTATAGGAAGTAGTTGGGTGAACTTATTGAGGGAAGCATTGTTTCGTTTTGACCGAGTTGCCACTGACAATCTTGTCCGCTCTGGAGAGTCCCAGTGGGAGGATCTTGCTTCTTCGCGCGCTCTCTTTCTGCGGATCGGCGGTTTGGAATCGCCCCATAAGTTGGCTCGCGGCGTCACGACGCACATCGCAAGCTCCATCTTGTTCAAGTTGCCGCCACGTAAATTGCCAGCTATGTACATTAAACGAAGTAGTTGACGTTTATTGTACCTTCGAAGTAGATGCACTTCTGTAGAAGCAGCCCTTCTACATGTGGCTAGCAAGGATAGCTTGGTCACCGCGTCTGGTCATCCACTGCCAGCCGGACTATCTTGATCATCGCCTCTGCCTGGGCACCATGATATATGTACCAAGATCTCCTCATGTGAAGGCTTGGCCACAACCTCGCTCGCCAACAGCCACAATATCCGCATTTAAGCGAAATCGGATGGGATCTCAAGGATACGGTCTCACAACTGCACGTCGAGTTTGACCCGCACATTGCTCATACCATTTGGTCGCTCGTAGAAATTCGTTGATGCCGCCACTTGAACGGAGATGGCAAGGCTGACGCATGCAACCGTGCGGAGTTCAGATGGTGGTGCTTGACTCGAGCTTCATCAGACCGTAACAAGAAATCCTGTTAGATATTTACTAAATGAGGCACGTCAGCCCTTCCTTGATATACAATGTTCAGAATCGCTCCGCGCTCATGCAAATGAAATCATTTAGAGCTTTTACTGTTCAGCATTGTCGGTAACAATCTACCACATGCGCATGAACGAAGTATGGAAATCCTCAAAAGGTGTTTTAGCCACCAGGACCACTTCCCACTTTGCTTCCACGGCTTGTGCAGGACGAGCCCGTTCCTCCGGGAGAAATCCCCTCAGCTTACTGGTCGATACTGGTCGAGGTTGCCGGTGACCATTCGCACTTCTAGAGAAAACGCCGTACAAATCTGGCGGTTTCTAAACAAATCGATGTACTTTTGAAATAGATGTTCAGTTTTCTGAAATTACTACTGAGTTAAAATGAGTGACACATAACTCCACTAGCAGTCCCGGATATGGGGTAATAATCACAACATTCCAACCGCACAGGTCTATGCAAACCCCCGAACCGCAAGTTTGCACCAATCAAAATCATTAAAATGAAGAATTTTAGCCAACAGTAACCTGATTTAAAATTGGAGCAGTTTTTCCAGAATTTCCTCCATATTTAGTAGGAATAATTTTAAAATATTATGTATTGAATACAAACTTCAATATTAACACATTTAAAAAATACTCATCAGTTTCTGACCCGGTCGATGGTAGGGATGTTTCACTTTAAAATTAGAAGCTAAAGCCCAAGGAGAGCAGAGGTGATGTCGATCGCGTCCCTGGCCCCCGCGAACTGCAAGAAGGCCCGATCCACAGCGATAAACTCCTTCATCACCTTCCTGGCCACCGAAAGCATGGAGCCATCTACCGCTTTTCAACTTATATACTCTGACAAGTGCTGCGTGTAATGTTAGACAAATATGCATTCTCTTTAGCTAGATCTCAAGACAAGATATTAGCTACGAATACGTGTTTAAGCTTGCTATGGCAACGTTAAGAACTGGCTTGTGGAAAAATACCCTCTTCAAGGTGGAATAGCTAAACCCCAGCTGCAGAAGATTCTGTCAGGCCTCAACAAATACTGCAGCAATCGGCACGAGGGTGGTAACGAGAAAGCGCCACCATGCTCAAAAGATGATTAGAAGCAATCATCCGCATACTGTATACGACGGCCACGCCAAAATGCGAGTACCTTGACGCTGCACTGGTCATATTGATATGATACTTGTATGGCCGCAGCTCGGATGCCGAACAAGTTGAAAAGCAGCAACTATCCATCTTACCTGGTAACTTTTTTTTTTTAACTTTTATGTATTATTACTAATGTAAACGTCAATTTAGGTGGTGTTCTGTTTCTTCGTTTTAAACGAGTGAAGACAGCTACGCTCCAAGGCGTTTCTTTGTTTAAAAATCCAACGAGCTTCCTAACCTGCCCGCTGCACAGTCTGGGTGTAGTTCTGGTTTTAGAGCCTACGCCATGCAAGAAAATGTTTCCACAGTTTACCAGCGTAAAACGCTCTCATGACTCCCTAGAAAACGTACAGAGTCTTACTCTTATTGAGCTTTTTTTTTTGGGGGGGG